TCTGTAGTAACTTTACAACAGTCCAATGCGAGTTGCACAAAATGTAACTGGCTGTTCTGCAGTGGGTGATTATGGCTTGATGGTCCGGGACGTTACTCCATCTAGAGACTGCTAATGGAACAGATACCTGCGGCTGTAAAGAGAGTCACCAGTGACAAGCAAAACAGTACTAATGGCAATTTCACACAACATGTATTTGAATTAACTGCATTAATGTTATAACTGGTTGATAATAATCAGTTATTTTTCTGTCATAACAATATATGTGTTGTATGTTTCCATTTCATTTTTTTTATGCAGCTATAATAGCATGTGCCATCTCAGAAATCCATTTTATTAATGGAAATTATTTCAAAACCTCATAAACAACTAATTACAATATGGGGATTCAGACAGATTTGATTGAAGGGAACTTCTCCAGATCAGGGTGATTTATCAGTTTAAGTTAGTCTTTGAAAGAAAAATAACTTGTGTTGGAACCAAAGTGGCAGCATGACCAACAGAAGTGATTCAGTGATATTCTAGCACTGAGCACACAGAAACAGTGTGTTGTCCTGTGATAGGCCAGTCCACCTCCACATGCACACTGGATATCCATCCATCATGCTCAATGAAAGCTGGACAAAGTGTGCGTAAAAGATGTCTGTGTGCTGAGATAACATTATAATGCACTAAAGGTCTCTCACTTGAAAAATTACCAATTTATAAATGTATCACAATCTTGTAACGCCACTCGACTGACCGCATACACTTGTGTTATTACCTGGCTTTTTGGCAATATAGCTGGGTGAGTAGAATGAATGGCTGGTGATGAACAGTGGAGATCTTACAGTACTTCCAGCTTATACCATGCATATCGGTTTGATTATATAGCTGTGTTACCGGTCTCAGGATTGGGATCTGAGTACGGCTGGGAACAATGACAAGAAGTCACACACGTTAGCGTATGAATGTTCTGGCTTCATTAACCATCTTCAAATAAATGTCTATGTCTCAAAATAGCATATTTCTTTATGTTCCTCTGGCATATTAGCTTAAACACATGACTTAAATGCCAAATAGCCATATCAAATTCACTGAAACAATCAAATCTAATTTGAAATAAATAAACTTAAATACTTTAGACAACAATATCACTACAATAACGGAATCATCTGTATATTCTGCATATCTACCTTACATGTTACACATACTCTGAATGTGTCACAAACTTAGATACATAAGGTAAAGGACTCAAATGCACGACCCGGGAGACAGAGGTAAAGTATGAGTAAATACTTTATTTTCAATAATAGGAATACAAAACAAGATCGACACTCTTAAACGAGGTGAAAAAAGGCTCAAAAAGGTACGAAAGAAAATCGCTCACTAAGTGAGGAACAAAACTTACAAAGTAAATCAGGAGCATGAATCAGGCTTGAGATAAGGTAAGTAATTGCTGGTACGCAGACTACTGACATGGAGACAGGACAAGATGAACTGACACAAAACAAGGGGAGACTGGGGAATTTAAACAAGAGGTAACTGGCACAGGTGGAAACAATCAGGGGCGGGGCTGACACTGATGAGAGACACACACAAGGGTAGGGAGTCAAGGGCCCGTTCTCATTTCATCAAATGTCCCTCCTCGACTCCCCTCCTCGACTCCTATCCTCGAGACTTAGTCCCGCCCACAGGAGATGCGAGCGGAGGAGCCGAGGAGGGGAGCCGAGGAGAGAGGAGGGGAAGCAGCAGGCGGTTAGAGAAATGAGAACTCCTCTCCTCTGAGCAGTCATTTTAAAGAGATGTCCATTAATGATGACAGGAGGCACAGCAGCCCTCTGTCTGATGGACAGATGTGTTCATGACGACTTATATATTTACTTTTAATTCATTCACAGTGCGGTATAATGAGACAATAACAGGCTACAGATGCGGACATACACACAGACATACAGACACACACATATGTATATATTTATATAAATATATACAATTTCAGAATCAAACGGAGCACTCTCATAATAACGTAACACTATCAGAGACTGGATATATCCCCCCCCCCCTCTCCCCTCTCTGGTCGCTACAATGAGGGAAATAAATTACGGGCCAAAAGTTTTATTTAAGTATTACAAGTAAGCAGAGGACACCAAACCAACTGAGACCTGTCTGTCTGCTGCATCTACGGAGGAGCCGTGGAGGACCGTGGAGGACCCATCAGTGTATCCTCGGTTATAGCTCCTCCAGAGAGCCTCCTCGACGCTCGATGCTCGGTCCTCGATGTGCATTTCGAGATATGAGATGTCCTTCAACATGGCGCGCTAAAATTCATTTCCGGGTCACTACCGGAGGACCGAGGAGTCGAGAAGTCAAGGAGGGACATTTGATGAAATGAGAACGGGCCAAGGAACCTGGAATGAAACGTAACAGGTGAGTGTCAAAACTAAACAGGAAGTGGGAGACAATACAAAAATTGACTAAACAAAAACATGAAACATGACTAGACTCAACACTTTTGACGGGACACAACAGTACCCCCCCCCCTCTAGGGCCGACTCCTGATGGCCCAGGCTGATCATAAAAGTCCTGAATGAGGGTCTTGTCCACAATAAATTATGCAGCTACCCAGCATCTTGCCTCGGGACCGTAACCTTTCCAGTCCACCAGGAATTGCTTGCTCCGACCCCTATTGCGGACCTCCAGCAGCTTACGGACCTTATAAACCTGACCACCTTCAAAGAGCTGGGGCGGTGGAGGGGGCTTGGAGGCGGGAACAAGTGTGCTCTCATACACTGGTTTGATATTGCTGACATGGAAGGTGGGATGTACTCTCATAGACCTGGGAAGTCGTAGGCGCACAGACACAGGGTTGATGACCTTAGACACCGGGAATGGACCCACAAACCTAGGAGCCAATTTATTGGAGGCAACATGAAGAGGTAGGTCCTTGGTGGAAAGCCAAACCTTCTGACCCGGTCTGTGGAGGGGAGCGGCCCTGCGATGGACGTCTGCTACAGCCTTCATCCGAGCCGAACTTCTGAGTAGGGACTGACGAGCACCAGCCCAGATTCGGCGACAGCGTCTTATCATGGCATGGACCGATGGTACCGTTACTTCTCCTTCGTTGACATGAAACATGACTAGACTCAACACTTTTGACGGGACACAACAGAATGTGGTATCCACAAACTCCTTCCTTATACAACTACACAGAATAACAAGAACACAATAACTCTTCCTCGTAACTTATAAAACGTTTAAAATTAGCCTTAGCAAGGTGCTTAGTTAACCACGATAACATGCTACATGAATACAACACCATGAGGACACCAAGTAAACTGTATAATAGCACACAAGCTATTATCAGTAGATAATTATTTCAATGTTAGTGCAATGAAGCTTGGTGAATAGGAAATTGTAAATACATAAAAAATTAAATAGCAGGCGTGTCTGTTTTTATCTAACTTGTGCAAAACATGCCTCATATTTCACATTCACATTGTCTCTGTCTTCACCATCTCTTTTAATGGCCACATATTATTTACCTCTCCTCAAATACACAGACTTTTCGGCATTTTCAAGCTTTACATTCTATCTATACCTCTGTATTTTTGACCATGTCAGAACAAAGGCAGTAATTTGAGGGTGCAGCACTTGACAAAGGGGTGGGAGAGATGGTTTGTGTGTGCAGCTTACAGGTCGTGATGTGGATCTCAGCCCGCAGTAATGGCTCCAGGCCATTACCTCTCCCTGTCATTTGCAATGACATATGCTTTTGAAAAAGGAAAATGGTGCTGCCCACATAACTTATACAGTAAACCCACCACTCCTGCAGCCTGCCTGGGGCTTAATGCCATGCCATTTCCCCCACCCACTCTATCATCATCAGTGCAGCCTTTTATGTCCATTCAAGAGCCCGATGTATTCATTATAATGACACAACACAGTATTTCAAAACAATTACTGTAATTTAAATGGTCCTGCAATCTCTTGTCACTTATTAATGTAGCCTTGTTGTGTCAATTCTTTCAAAAAAAGACGTTTATCATTTTCTCAGCTCAGTTGGATCTGTTAAACATTTCACCATTGTATGAATTAATTATTTAAAGCAGATGTTGTCATATTGCATATTAAACATTTGTCACCGTGACTGAGATGTCAAACAAAATGGTGCCATTCATGTCCAGAATAGAATATAAAGGCAGATGTAATCACAAGCTGCCAAAACCTAACCAGCCAGAAATGTCAGGAATAGAAAATAATTTAGTTACATTGTATATGTGAAGAAAGACAAGCACAGATCATTCATTTTGCCAAAATGGTTTCTCATACTGTAGCTATTGTTTTTTAAATAATATGTATACCTGTCTAATCTGTCCAGACTTGTGACCACTTGCAATACATTTTCAGGGGGGTTTTACAGTGCTTTCTCAACTAACAGGTTTATTTTTTTTTGGGCTGTTATGAACGTGGCAAACAAAGGAGTCTAATGGAGGCGTTTCAGATGGGGGGATTTCAGCCTTTGCTGACCATTTGCAGACCATTTAAAATTTTAAAAAAGGAAAAAGAAAATACAAATCCTGATTGATTATGTGGGATTCAAGGGAACTGTGACAGTTTCAGATATAGGAAGTGAGAGATAGCCACAGGCTTTAGAAAATCTTGAATATTGTGTCATCAGCATGGATTTACTGTTCAGCACCATTTCTGTCATTTATTGGCAGCGGTGGAAGAAGTAATCAGATGCTTTACTTGAGTATATTATTGTCAAAATACTTCATGCATTGCATACTGTTTAAACTGCTATTATTTGATATTTTGGGGGCAGTGCAACAAGCTGAATATATGAATGATAATAATGAGGGTGAACTTGAAAAGTAACACTAACATTGAATTAAAATAGGGTGTTTTGATGAAAGAAGGTGCATGCATGTTTCTGTGTGATCAGCGCTCTGTGCTGCAGTGACTCGCTCCACTGCGCTCAGGACTGTTTGCTGATATCATGTTTTTTTTCTCCAAAGCCACTCAGGTCAGCCCTTCAGAACTGCAAGATGTGTTCCAGGAGACCTCCTCCAATATCTTCCAGATCAACGCCAATGGTAAAAAGACGTGTGTGTGTGTGTGTGTGTGTGTGTGTGTGTGTGTGTGTGTGTGTGTGTGTGTGTGTGTGTGGTGTTGTGTGTGTGTGTGTGTGTGTGTGTGTGTGTGTGTGTGTGTGTGTGTGTGTGTGTGTGTGTGTGTGTGTGTGTGTGTGTGTGTGTGTGTGTGTGTGTGTGTGTGTGTGTGTGTGTGTGTGTGTGTGTGTGTGTGTGTGTGTGTGTGTGTGTGTGTGTGTGTGTGTGTGTGTGTGTGTGTGTGTGTGTGTGTGTGTGTGTCATTGTGTCATTGTGTCATTGTGCTCCCGTCCCAGCATAAATACTCTGAGACCTTTTGACCCGGAACATATTGGAGTTAGTCTTCGCCTCTTTAAATTCGAAGTGCTCTTTAACAAACCAATATTACACTAACTCCTGTGCAGTTTAACCCCTGTTGCAATTTGTTTGGACACATTTGAACAGAGTAATCGTGCTATTGTGCAGACCACAAAGACCACCTCTTACAAATGGTACTGGACTGTCTCCAAGCCAACACTAGTGCGGTTCGATGGTAATGAGAAGATAAGCTAACCCAATTGGAGGAAGTAAACCAAAAGGCCACGTTCGGATCGCAACATCACGTTTTTTTGAAATAGTGAATTAATTAAATTTTAAAAGGTTTAAAAAGACTACTTAGTTAATGGTAATCATTAGCAAAGGTTTTAATTATGACTTGACTTAATAATAGAATGGAGGTGGAATTAGTTTTTTGGTAGCCTTAAGAAGACATTCCAATTATTCTATAACCTGTATAACCTGTGTTTGTATTGCTCTTACAGTTGTCACACTGGAGAAGAATCTTCAATCACTGGGGACATCTAGAGATACAGAAGAGCTACGACAGAGTCTGTGAGTCACACACACACACACACACACACTTAAGTAGTCGTATGTCTTGACAATTTAGACCACTACACTTCAACATTTCAAATACAAATATTATGATATATTTATTTATACTGAACTATATTTTCATAGATACACATACACTCACCGGCCCCTTTATTAGGGTTAGGGTTATAAAGGTGATCTATAGGATTTAGGTATGGTGATGGTTGAGGCCATTTGAGTACAGTGAACTCATCGTCATGTAGAAGAAACCAGTCAGAGATGATTTGAGCTTTGTGACACAGTGCTTTATCCTGCTGGAAGTAGCCATCAGAAGATGGGTACATTGTGGTCATAAAGGGATGAACATGGTCAGCAACAACACTCAGGTAGGCTGTGGCATTTAAACCATGCTCAATTGGTACTAAGGGCCCCAAAGTATGCCAATAGAATATTCCCCACACCATTAACCACCACCACCAGCCTGAACCGTTGATACAAGGCAGGATGGATCCATGCTCTCATGTTAATACCAGCCTGTCCTCCTACAAAAAACGACCATATAGGCCGATTGTTCAAGCCCTTATTACGACCCAGAGACACGTTTTAAAGTGTACTGTATGTTGTTTCTTACACGACCACTAGAGGTGCTCTAGTTGTCGTGTAAGAAACAACATGCTTGATTGCAAACGCTCCGGAGGAACGTTTATTCACAAATAACCCTCTCTGGAAAATCCTAAATTGTGGAATAGTTTGGCCATTAAAATGCTTTTTGATTCGATTTCTAGCGAGAAGTGTATATTGTACTCTTAGAATCCACATCCAGTCGATGTCTAGGATCTATAGTTTGATAGATATTACGAAGATGATTTGAGGTCTCGCCAGGATAACGTGTATATGGGGCAGCTTCCATGTAAAGTTAGCGTGGGTGAAAACAGTTTTTCCGGTCTCGAAAGTTTTCATAATAAAACCGGATGTATTCCCCTCACTGTCAAATGATTACACAGTGATATCTGCATTACTCATCCACTAAAAAACATCAGTTTATCCTTGTTAATTACACAACATTGATTGGTTTAAATTGTGTACAATGCTTTTGTGTTTTTAACCTTCGATTCGGAGAAACAAATCGTTTTTTCGGAGTTTAGACACTACAGAGTTTCCGAAGACACTACACTACCCAGAATCCCCAGCTATCGTTTGGGACTACAACATCCGCCTTGCTTTACAAACCCCGTGATTAGTCCTCAAGCCCTGTGATTGGATGTAGGAGTGGCAGTGCGACAAGGTTACGCCGAGCGTCAACAGCTCTATGAAATGGAATGGAACCACGACAGACTATCCAAAACTGGAATTGCACGGGTCCAGCCCAGCCCTTGTTTGTTTTTCCTGTCTCCCTCCATGTCAGTCACGGTCAGTTTTTCGGTAATGTATCTTCCTTGTGCTACCGTTGTGTTTCATGTCATGTTTTTTGTCATCGGCTTTTGAAATAAAGCTCGCTTTTGTTTATAGACCTTTACCTTTTTTGTAGTCTGCATTTGGGTCCTACCTTTTCCGCGATTCTTAACAGTGATCATAACAGTTATGGTGTAAATATAACCTATCTACCAATTGGATCAAATATAAAAGTCAGCCGAATTAATGTTGATACTGCAAGGAGACGTATTTTGTGAAAATAAATGTAAGATGTTGTGTAATTGCTGATATATTTATGATCCAGTTTGTCCAGAAGTCTTCTCATCAGGGCTCTATAAATAGAGAACTACGGCAGATGTGTAATATTTAATGCAGCCGAACCGTGTATTACAATGCCGTTATGTGATGACTTCCAAAGAGAAAAGCAAGAACACTCGGAATAAAGTTTTTTTTTTTTTTTTTAAATGTTTACCGATTTCATATCGCATAAACACCATATCCCAACGTGCATTGCGGCGTGATTTTAGCCTATCAAAGCCTCTGAAAAAAGAAATGTGTCTCTCAGAATCGAAAGAGAAAAACCTATGGGAAAAACACAAAAGCATTGTACACAATTTAAACCAATAAATGTCGTATAATTAACAAGGATAAACTGATGTTTTTTAGTGGATGAGTACTGCAGATATCACTGTTAAATCATTTGATCATTAGTTTTATTATGAATACGACGAGACCGGAAATATTGTTTTCAACCCGTAACTTTACATGGAAGCTACCGCATACCTCAAATCATCTTCGTAATATCTATCAAACTATAGATCCTACATATCGACTGGACGTGGATTCTAAAAGTACAATATACACTTCTCGCTAGAAATCTAATCAAAAAGCGTTTTAATGACAAAACTATCCTACAATATAGGATTTTACAGAGAGCGTTATTTGTGAATAAACGACCATCTGTAACGTTTGCATTCAACGGGAGCACTAGAGGTCGAAAACTTTCAAACGTAATTATAGGTCATATTAAGCGCTTGAACAAACGACACATTTGGTCGTAATAAGGGCTTGAACACTCGGCCCATTTGGTCGTATGAGTTGGAGGACTTGTTGGTTAATACACCAAATTCTGACCCTACTGTCCTAATGTCGCAGCAGAAAGCGAGACTCATCAGACCAGGCAACATTTTTCCAATCAGCTATTGTCGAATTTTGGTGAACCCGTGCAAATTGTAGCCTCAGTTTCCTGTTCTTATCTGACAGGAGTGGCAGCCGATGTGGTCTTCTGCTGCTGTAGCCCATCTGCTTCAAGGTTCCACGTGTTGTGTTCAGAGATGGTCTTCTGCATACCTCATTTTGGCCCGGAGAACTGCCGCTCACTGGATATTTTCCCTTTTTCTGAGCATTCTCTGCAAACCCTAAAGATGGTTGTGCGTCACAGTCGATCAGCAGTTTCTGAAATACTCAGACCAGCCGTCTGGCACCAACAACCATGCTATGTTCAAAGTCACTTAAATCCCCTTTCTTCCTTGTTCTGATGCTCTGTTTGAACTTCACCAGGTCGTCTTGACCATGTCTATATGCCTAAATGGATTGAGTTGCTGCCATGTGATTGGCTGATAAGATATTAGCGTTAATGAGCAGTTGAACAGGTGTACCTAATAAAGTGGCCAATGAGTGTAGTTCATACAAGATATTTATCACTACTAAAATTATAAATCATTTCAAAAGGAGTAACTACCAAACAGAAGTTGTTCAGAAACTACCTTCAATGGATTACAATTAATTTCTTATTAAATAATGCCAAACATTTAATGGTTTCGGGTTGTCAAATGTGATAAATTGCATCACATTTTTTACTTTGGATCAGTCATTTGAAGGACAATAGGGTGCAACGTGTAAGCAACTAACAATATCAACAGAATCTGAAAGAGACTCAGTGCTGACCTTATCTCCAAGTATTCTGTTGCATGTATTATGATAGCGACTGAATTAAACATGCTAGCTGACTAACTCCAGCCCGTCCCGTATCACTGCTTTAACCTCGTGAGGTGATTGAAGCGTCCAGTGTGTCCTCAGTCCAACATGAGAGAGCAAAAGCTGCCCTGAGGGTCTGTCAATACAGGGTCAGTGTTCTCTTTAATGGTTGGTTTATTGGACTGAACGGCTGATCGAACAGAACAACTTGTGTTATTGCTTTGCCCTCCCTGCTGCCTGAAGGCTGGTCAGCTGTGAGGGTAGGAGGCGTAGCTCAGACCGACCTTCCATTAGCAGCTGTGGCAACTCCAATTTGGCCAGCGCAGACCCCAGCTGTGGGGGTCTGATCCTGCAGACCTGAGCGCACTGGCTGGGGGTCTCCAGGAGCTGCCCTGAATCTCCTGCTGGTTCATTGCAGTGGACAGCCTGTTGGCGGAGGTGGGGAGTAACTTGGTACAAAATAATTTCCCAAATTGGGATCAACAAAGTATTTATCTATCTATCTATCTATCTATCTATCCACCTGGAGTGAATTCACAAGCTACCCTGCAGTATACAAAGTCATTCAAACTAGCTGCACATTTACCAGCTTTGAGAACACTTTAATGATCAATCATTATAAAACATATCATATATATTATTCTGAAATGGACCAATCTGCACAATGACTACTTTTACTTTTGGTACTTTAACTATATGTTGATGCTAATACTTTTCTGCTTTTAGTTGAGTAACATTTTGAATGCAGGACTTTAACTTGTAACAGAGTATTCCTACACTCTGGTACAATATCTGAGTACTTCTCCCACCGCTGCCAGTTGGTTAGCGGTACAGTATCACAAATATGTCGTAAATTATAGATAGATAGCCAACCCAGTCTCACAAAAAACGTATAGCTAGTTTGAATGACTTTGTATACAGGGCAAAACGTAATAGTTTAACAAAACGCCTCTCAAAACGTGACATGGCTACATTTTTTGTTGCCTATTCATTTCTAATGGCCAGTGTCCATGTTTCATGATCGTCGCGTTACGGCATTCACATCGATCGCGGCCACTCTAGTCAATGGGTGCTATTCCACCAGACGCGCCGCGTTACGGCTCAGAAGCGTCCCAGAAGCGTCTTGGCGCTGGGCTCCGCTAAACATAGAATGCAAGTCTATTTTCGACGCGACGCAAGGCGTTGCATAGCGCCGGGCAGGAAGTGGACCGGTCAGAGCATCCAGTCAATCCCCAAAATAAACTAATTTTGCAGACCCTATCTCTCCGTAGTCTTTCAAGTAGGAGGAGAAATGCCAGCGTTCTCCTCCGGTTTACAGGCACTGTGTAAATTATATATATAGAATAATTATGATGATGAATGCATTTTTTTACCACTAAAATACAGCAACACATCTTTGATTCATGTCGTTTATAACTGGAATATTACAATTATTATTATTAACTTTGTCTGTATAAAGTAGCCTGTCCAGGAAATCTGCTCAAATCAACAAAAACTGCGAGCCGGCACGCAAGACGCTCTGAATCTGAAATGCTTCTGAAACGCTCCTGAAACGCGCCCGGTAGGGTATGACGCCGGATGAGGCCGGACCAAAACCGCGGCGCAGCCGTGACGCGACGCAGACGGAC